GCAGTAAAGGTTTTTTTTTTTTTTTTGGCATTCAGATTTCAGAAATTACAGTTAGTTTCTGATACAAGTATAAATATAAAACATTTACCTATGGGGCTGGAGAGATAGCTCAGCAGTTAAGAGTATGGGCTGCTCTTGCAGAGGAACTGAGTTCGGTTCCCAGCATCCACATTGCAGCTAACAACCATCTGTAACTCCAGGTCCAGGAGATCTGATGCCCTTTTCTGACCTCCGTGGGCATTGCATGACACAGGTACACTTACATGCAGGCAACACATTCATAAACATAAAATAAAAATAACAAAACATCAAAAATATCCACTGATGATTCAGGATGGGCAATGAACTTGAGACCCATGTTCTACTAAGCTTTAAAACTAAACTAAAATGACATTTATCTGTCTTCCATGTCCCCTCAATGATCACTGTTCTTTCAGGAGCTGTTGATTTCACTGACCTGGAAAGAACCTAACTATAGGGTGTTGTAGTCTTTTAAAATTGCTTTACAACAATCTTGACTTAATTCTTTCTGATCATTTTCTTACGTCCTAGTTTGAATATCATTAGCATCATTTAAATAAAGAAGAAAGAAAGAAAGAAGAAAGGAAGAAAGAAATGAGATGAAGGGTTTTTGGCATTCAGATTTCAGCAGTTAGTTTCTGATAGAAATATAAAATATTTTAAAATATTTATTTTTGTAATTTTGTGTATGTGTGTATGTGATATATGTGAGGATGCATGCCTGCCACGGCATGCGTTTGGAGGCCAGGGACAGACAGCCTTGGGTATCAGTCCTTGGCTTCTACCTTGCTTGAGGCAGGGTTTCTCGTCTCTGCAGCTGCACTGTGTACTCCAGGCAGCTGGCTGTGAGCTCCAGTAAAGCTCTCCTGTCTTACTCCCGTCTCATCCTAGGAGTGCTGCATTAGAAACACATACCACTGTATCCAGCTTTTATATGGGCTCCTAAGGTCCAAGCTTGGGCTGTCAAGCTCGTGTGATAAGGGCTTTTACTGCTGAGTCATCCCCCTGGTCCCATAACATACTTTTTACCTTAGCATTTTCTTGTGTGTGATCAGTAGTTATTCAGGTCACCCACGTCATGCACGAGCTCGTGAAAAGGCAAGTTGCACAATGACGTGACTTTCCCTGCGGCCTCTGTTCCTAGTGGAGAAATCACACCATCACCGTATCATTTTAATTTCCTGATCTGAATTCCTTTTGAGAATCTTCTGCTACTGAGACATGTTTTCTTTTGTGGTTCAGTCTCAGATCTTCTAAACCTGGATTCTAGTCAACTTTTTCTTTCACTGATGATCATTCAGATACACTTGTCTCCGAGGGCATCGGTATTTTTATCCCACCCCCAGTCTTCTTTGTTTATAAGATTTAGATTCAGAGTTGAAATTCCTCTAGTTATTACGTCTCTTCCTTGGGAGTTGAAATTGTCAGTGTATTAAGTGAAAAGTCAATCGAGAATGATTTTAGCTGAATGAGATCTTCAATAAGTGTCTGAATATCTGAAGTCCTATCATTACCTTTTCTTACTTCATCCTACCAGTTTCTTGCTGCTGCTTCCTGTGAAAGCTTACTTTTCATTCTATACTAAACTCTTAGGCTTATTTTCTCTGTAATCCATATTCAAAGTTGATATATAAAATGCCAGAGATTGGGACACTATTGGAATTATGATCCTTGTCTCAATTACTATCTCAGTTGAAATGATTTGGCCCCACACTGTCATTATTGCTTCTACATGACTTAGGCAAGGATTATTTGCTTGGGAAAAACAAGAAAGCCGGGCATGGTGGCATACGCCTTTAGTCCCAGCACTTGGAAGGCAGAGGCAAGTGGATGTCTGTGAGTTCAAGGCCAGCCTGGTCTACATAGCAAGTTCCAGTCCAGATGGGGCTGCAGGGAGACCCTGTCTCAAAAAGACCAACCCCCCCAAACTCAAGAACCTCCCTAAGCTATACTAAGCTAAAAACGAGTCATTTAGTAAAGGGATATTGGAGAATATCAGAGAATATGTGACCAAGGACTAGCTGGCTCTCCATAAGGAGCTCTGCTGGCCTCTGGGCAGGTGGGAACTGACAACAGACACTCTCTCATTGCTCCTGGGTTTCTACAGTACGTCTGCACTGTTCTCCCATTTCTGAAATGCGCATTCTCTACCTGAACATACACATGGAAACAATGATCTTAGCTCCACTGCACATGAACTTCCTTGCAGATCAAAGGCCTAAGCCCCCCAAACTCAGCTGAGGTCCTATTATCCTAAGTTCACTCACAAAGCAAATCTCCTTAGCTTAGCCTGTGATTTATTTCTTTTGATGTCACAAGCCCACTGCTGGCCTATTCATTTGGATCTGCAGAGGAAGGTTTCACTTGAGAAAAACAGTGGATAATAATTTTTCTCTAAGAGGGTGAGGATAGAGCAAAAACGATGTGGCACTCCATCTTAGAACTTGAAAATTATTACTATACATCTTAATTTCTTTTCCAGTCATTTTCCAACTCAATGCAAGCTTTTTTTTTTTGGTAAGGTACACTCCCAACTTAGAGACAGGTCTTTACTCCATTTTTAATTTTATTATGCTGATAGCATGTAAATGTGTGTGTGTGTGTGTGTGTGTGTGTGTATCAGTGTGGGTGCACATAACTTTTGGGATTAGGTTGGCTCCTTCCACTGTGAGTTCCAGGAATGATGCTGAGGTTGTCAGGCTTGCAAGACAAGCACTTTTACTTCTGGAACCACCTCACTGGCTCTCATTCCAGTATTTTAAACCGTGGTTTAAAACTTAAATTTTATTCATTATTATATCTTATACTCTCCCCTTTCCCTCAAAAAGAAGCCAGTGAAAAATTCTTTATATTCTGAAATATTTTAGATTCCTTCTAATGATGTCAGCCTCATTCTTGGAGTCAGCAAGACTGGGTAGCAGTCCTGAGATGTATTCGGGAAAGAGCGTGTCCCATTGCTTCTGGTTAATTGGGGCTGCGTTTAAGCTCTACCCCAGGAAATAATCAACCCAAAGCTGTATTCCCTCCTCTGAGTATTTGGTGCTCCTTAACCGACTGGGTTGTGCTTTTCTAGCTGAGTTTCATTCCATAAAGGAGGTCTAAATATGTCCATCTCCCTTCACAAAGCTGCATCCTTCAGGTGTGTCTGTAGGGACCAGCACCCTCATCTTTCTGCCCTGTTCCTACATTCTTCTTTGTATGTAATCTGACTTTATTCTGTCTCCAGAATTTTTTTTTGATGAGTGTGAGATGTATTTAGTTTTGTAGAACATCCAGACTTCTGTATCGGGAGGACAATCCAACCTAGTGTGCATTTTTAGCCCAAAAGAATTCGCTCATTTTAGCCTCCTTTTTGCGTCCACTTCCTTCTTCTCTATAGAATTGGATCAAAATTGGATCCTCTTCATCTGTAGTCAGCATCTTGAATTTTTAATTTCTCCATAAAATCCCATTTTATGGGGACTGCTTATAGCTAGATGCTTTCTGAGAGGCCAAAACATTTTTAAGGCCTTTTCGTATTTCCAAGCAAGTAAACTAGATGGCATTCAATATATCCGTATCTTATATTTGTTTTCTGATAGAAATTTTTCTTGGCTTGTCATTGAATCATTAGGTCCTATGAATTTTGATTTGAATTAAGCTCTCAAGATAAGTATTGTCCTGTATTTCTTTATTTCTTTTATTGTCTCTTAGAATATAAGTTAAGGTATAGCTTCATAGGTCAAGTAGACATCTATGCTATTAGGCAAGTTATTGATGTTGTGTAAGTCTCCATTTATTTGTCAGTAAAATGGAGATGATGATATTTATTACTGAAAATAATTGCTATGAGGATTAAATAAGACAACCAATGTTGGATGTGTAGTGCGCACTAAATACTCAGTAAGCACTAGGCTATGCCACATCTAATTATTTTTAACTGCTTTTGTTAGATTGTAAGTTTTTTGAACTTTAGACCTACATTTGAAAATTTGTTAAGCAGTTAAGTCTTGCAATTTATAACCATTCATTTGTATGATAATTATATTTAGTGATGAGAACTCCAGGAAAGCAAACACGCTAAAACTAAGATTATTAAATTTATTTTTGCTTTTTGATGTTGCATTTATGTTCTTCAAGTTCATAGTTTATACTTAAATCATTTTTATTCTCTTTCCTAACCTAAGTTCTAAAAACCCACTCATTCTAAAACTTTTCTGTCTTTTTTTTGGATTGGGTTCAAATTCAACTTGCACCAATATTTTTTCAGTCTAACTGGAGATTGAACCTAGGACTTCACACATGTTAGGAAAGTGCTCTAACACTGTTACATCCCAGTCCTCTTTTGTACTTTTTTTCAGACTGGTTCTCATAAGTTGCCCAGGCTAGTTTGAATTCACCTTGTATCCCAGGTTGGCCTTGAACTTGTGACCAAATCCCCTGCCTCAGCCTCTTGAGTAGCTGGGATTATAGGCCTGGCTTCTGCCAGTATTTTGTGTTAGCTACATGCTGGGCTCTGTGCTAGGTGTGTGGCCTTAGCTATGATCTCCCTGTTATAGATTAAAAAACAGTACAGGGAGCCGGGCGTGGTGGCGCAAGCCTTTAATCCCAGCACTCGGGAAGCAGAGGCAGGCGGATCTCTGAGTTCGAGGCCAGCCTGGTCTCCAGGACAGCTGGGGCTACAGGGAGACCCTGTCTCAAAAAGACAAAAAAGAAAAGAACAACAACGAAAAAAAACAGTACAAGGAATTGAAGTGAGCAGTTCAAGAACATATCATTATTAGCAAATAGTGTTGACAAAAATGACAAGGCAACCGTAAACTAGCGAGGAGGAACTTTAGGGGGAATTCAGCCAAAGACAGCTGGGGCTGACTAAGCTGCAAGGAAACATTTCATTTCCAGTTACCATTATCTGCACATCATGGTTGAGGTTTATTCTGCCATAAACTCAAAGTAGGTAAATTTCTACTAATTGAAACATAAAGTGGTAAATATGGGCTGGAAGTGTTTGATTTGGTGCTACGTTTTGTATATTTAAAGCTTTTAATATATACAGAACGGGTCTAAAGTGAGAAGGTCCACAGTTAATATTTTCAACGACAGAGCATGGATGGATCTTTCCCCAAAGTTTAGTTACAGTCCTCATAATACAGAACTAATTTCTGAAATGCTTGGTAGATGTGTCGATTCTGGGTACAAATGAAGCCTCCACTTCTGAAGGCCTGGTATGGGCTCCGATTTAGGTCTCCAATACAGGTCCAGCGATTTCTGGTGCCCTTTCGAGAAACACACCATTTGGCATGGTCCTGGTAAGAACTAAAATAAGATTGCCGAGCTGTCTTGATGGCTTTGATGTTGTAGACATGGTACGCGAGAGAGCAGTTTGAAGGAAGCTCTTGTCTCTTTCGCCGCCAGGTTTCTGCCAGCAAGTGCGTCTTTAGCTGCTGCGCCATCCAGGCTACAAAGATGTCTAGGAGTCGGAAGGAGAGAAACAGTGAATTTACATAATACTTGAAAAGATCTTCAAGAATAGAAATCTTCATCCACCCTTGATGTATGCATGCTGGGGGCACAACAATAACAGCACAGTAACAATGTAACTAAGTGGATGGGCAAACATTTTTTAAATCCTAAAGTGGTATGCAAATAAAAGTTACTATAATCTACACATGTCTCCACACAGATAAAGCATGAGGAGACCTCTGAAAAGAATAAGACTAGAGAATTAGAGGCCATTTCAAGGGTCTTTATAAGTCGTACTGTTATGATTGACTTTTCCTGAAGTCAATAGGGATTTTTAGATAAATCTTAGTTGAAAATTAAGAGAAACTAATTTATAATCATAAGTATCAATTGAGAAATACTGTGCAGGATGAACTTGGAAGGGTAGGTTACACAGAAGATAGGGTAAACAAGGTTGTCACGGTAACTGACAAACAGTGGTGTGGACTGTGGTGGCAGTAGAGGCTTTCGAGAGGATTTGATAAATGTGAAAGCTGTTAAGGGCCTGGAGCTGAATGGATTTGGTAGTTTGGTAGAGGAGTGAAAAGGACTCTAGAACGTCATGATGAGCAAGTTTGTGGGGGATGATGATGAGACAAGTTTAGCATGTTGCATTTGGTATAGCTGTACCCCCTCCAAGTGGAAACATCCCACTCACTGTTGAGTACATCTGTTAGCGTAGAGGCCAGGTGGGTGGATACCCAGCCTTGGAAGTCACTCAAGGGCTTTCTGGAATTGCACAGCATGGATTGCAGAGTGAGATAAGAAATGGGTAGAGGACCATATGGCAATCTTATCACCTAAGGAATAGTCAGAGGAGGAGGTGGGTCTGGCAGAAGGGACTTTTAAAAAGCGGAAGACCAAGAGACTACGCACTCCCCAAAATCAGTGGAGGGGAGTAGTTCAGGAAGGATAGGGTTTTGTTAGTGCCAAGATCTGTAAAGACTACCATAGTTTTTGTACCTCTTGTGCCTGACATGAGGTTGGCAAGTAGTAGGTATTCAGTAAATTGCCTGCAATGTATAAAGGAAGGAAGCAGAAAAGTAAGGTCGACAGCACGGTCATCAAGCATTGCTGACTAGGGATGACTGTTTATAGACAGAAGCAAGACTTGTGAAGAGAATCCAGCAACCAAAGGCTCTGAGTTGTCTCAAAAGAAATTCAGGTGGAAAAAGTAAAACCAGAGATAGGCAATTTAGAATCAAGGGAGGGTTTTTAGATATGCTTATATGCTCGGAAGAAAGACTCTGAAAGGCAGGACAGATCAAGTAGAAAAATCAAGGTATTTTCAGGCTAGAATGGGGTTACAAAGAGGGTATATAGTGTCTGTTGGAATGTGAGGAAACAGAGTGAAAATAAACAGAGGTAAGAATGTTGGAGGGGTCGTGTCGCAACATCGAAGTGGTTGTTCCCTGATGATCATTGCATTCACTGTGGGACAGAGGGCAGGGTTTTGTAAGGAGGGCGCAAAGGAACTGCATGAGGGATGGCAGAAGCCATAGCGGTGGCCCCAGGTCTGCAGAGGAGCTGAGTTTTCAGCCCCCTTTCCCAGCTGTATGTTTGTAAGATTCTTCTGTGATTGAACCAGCAGCGCGTTATTCACATAGAAAAGGGAAACGTATGCGTCGATGCCTGATGTCATGTTTTCTTTTCTTCAAGCCACCCCTCTTTTCTACGTCTGTACCCTAAATAACCAGACTCCTTTCTCCAAGTAACCCATAGTGCTTCCTGCTAGCACACTCTTTGGTGGTGGTCTTTTATACCGTCAAGAAAAGAATCCGATTTTGCAAAATGGAGGAAGTTTTGTCCCTGGGCTGACTGAAGTGTGGTGAGCTGCCGGCCAGGGACCTTTAAGGAACTGGACTTGGAGCACAGCTGGGGTATGTGGACAAGCTCCTGGTGAAAGGTGGCTGGAATGGAACAGCTGTAGATGTTTGGGTTGGAGACCAAGAGCTGAGAATCTAAATCAAGAAACAATAAAGAACAGTTGAAAACATAAACACAAATGGAAATGTTTACAAATGTTGTATATTAGGAAACAAAAGCAAAAGTCTCTCAAGTATGGGCATTCCATGTTTTACAGCATTGGCCTTCAAATGCCTTTTGGTTTGAGTAGCTGATACCTACCGAAACTTCCAGATATTTTTCCTATGAGTTTTATATAATTTTAAAATTTTTATTTAAGTTTATTTTATGTGTATGCATGCATTGCCTGCATGTAGGTAAGTGCACCCATGTCGTGCAATGCCCATGGAGGTCAGAAGAGGCTGTCAGATCCCCTGGGACTGGAGTTACAGATAGTTGTTAGCTGCCATGTGGGTGCTGGGATTCGAACCCGGGTCTTCTGCAAGAACAACCAGTGTTCTTAACTGCTGAGCCATCTCTGCAGCCCAAGTTTTATGTATTTTTTAAATCTTGTTTTGTGCGTATGTGTGTACATATGTGTGCATGTACGTGTGTGCTCATGTGTGTGAGTGCAGGCATGTATGTGCAGAGGCCAATAGACAACCTTGGGTGTCGGTGCTTGCCTTCCACCTTGTTTGAGGCAGGATCTCTTTGCTGTTGGCTGCCACATACACTAAGCTGGCTGCACCCAAGCTTCTCTCCCATCTTGCTGAGGAGCACTGGGATTACAGATATCCACCATCATGCTTGGATTCTAGAGATTGGGCCTCAGGTGAGGGCAAGTACTTTATCCATGGACCCATCTCCCCAGACCAAGTTCCATGCTTTATTCACTCCTCAAAGTGACATTATTAGGTAAGCTCTGTTGTCACCATCATCTTCATTTTATAGATGAGGTAGCTGAGATTTCTTTCACACACCTATGGTTATAAAGCTTGCAGCATGAAGGTCAATGTTTTTTTTTCCTCTGTGTACACATGTAGAGACCTCCTTGTGCCAATCTTTAAGCTTGAAGCATCAGCACGCACATCTTAGCTCTACATTGTTCAGCTGTCTATGAACTAGCTAGAGGAAGGCTTCTCTTAGGTGGCAGGCTCAGTGATCCTGGTCCTAAGAGAGAAACTGGATGAGAAACATTTTCTAAACTTCCTATACCTGGAGGTAAGGCACTCTTTATGATTTTTCTTACTCCTACATCACAGTTTGACAAATATAAGTGTTTTGGGCAATTTGAACTTGAGATCTTAAAAAAGTTTATCTGGCTCTGAGGTGTGATGTTGGTGGTATAGAGGTAACATTTGGTCTGCAAAAATAAACGTTTTTTAGATAAGATCCAGCCTATATTTAAAAATCAAGGGGGCTGGAGAGATGGCTCAGCAATTAAGAGCACTGGCTGCTCTGGCAGAGGACCCCAGTTCAATTCCTAGCACCCACATAGCGACTAACAGCTATCTATAACTCCAGATCCAAGGGAATCCAATGCCCTCTTCTGACCTCCATGGGCATTGCGCAACATGGGTGCACTTACACACATGCAGGCAATACACTCATACACATAAAATAATAAATAAAATATTTAAAAAGCAGGATCTTTCGTGCATGCGTGCACACACGCACTCACTCACACACGCATACACACATACACACAGAGTTTCTGATTCCTCATGAAAAATACAGAGATCTGTAATCAGTAGCCTTGTAATCCTACAGTATGACGGTACTGAGGACTTTGAAGGCATTCAAGGGAAAGTCAACACCCAAGTTTATTACTCTCCCCCGTGCTCATGCAATACCTGTTTCATACATTTTTGTTACCTGCCTGGCTCCTGTATTCTTTTGTAACGATTACCCCTAGCCAAATTCAACAATGTCATTGATAGACCAAGAATGAGGAACAAGTAGAGAGCCTGCCTGGGGTCTCACCACAGCAGAGCCAGCATTAGAGTCTAGTCATCAGGTTTATGACTAGATTAACAAAGTGACACACTGATGAACACATTTTCAGTTCCTCCTTTGACACCGCTGTCTCCTTTTCACACATTTGGTGTTACCTATTGCTTCATACTGGCTGTATTTGAAAGTTATGCAGATGCCGTTTTGTCCGTTCCATCTCCCCGTGGATGGATAATCATAGCCTTCTTCTGGGATTGGAGGAAACCCGGGAATAGAATGGATCAGCCAGAACCCCTGGACCCTGTTCCACAGCAGTAGACCTACCAAAGATACATTTGATTTAAATTAATTAGAAAACAAAGGTCCCTTTAAAATACAGTTCAAAGCTGTAACACTGAAGCATGTTTATAGGCTCTTGTTTTCTTAAGCTATCAATAATCGCTCATTTTTCAAGGATTACAATAAGAACTCAGGCACACTCATGATACCCCGTGACGGGATAATAAGCTTCCTCAGAGGGAAGCCAGGACAGCTACTCTGTGAGGAGTTAAGAGGAACTGCATGTTGGAAATGCCTGTTGAAACCACAAGGAAAATTCATTTGGCAGAATGCAAATTTGCTAAATTGGAATTTGGCCTTGTTAAACTATACAGTCACCTGACAAGCCTTGGCTAATGTCTTCACTGCTGAGCAGCTATTTTCAAAGGCTTGCTAAAAGCAGTGTTAAAAGAGACAATACCAGATGAAGAAGGGCTCATAGCACTTTGCTTTAATAGACGGCTGCTCATTTGTTGGAGAGGGGTCACTTAGTCCTACAGATCTGATTAAAAAGAGACAAAGAAAAAGAGATAGGAAGGCGCATAGTCTTGTTAATCGTGCTTTGTACAAGTCTCTAGAGCCTACCAAAATGAAAGCCAGAAAGAAAGAAAATAGCTTGTGACATAGCAGAAAGAACCTTATCCAATCAGAACCTCTACTTTCCGTGTTTTTCAATGTTTGGTGCTGTAACTAGATTTTCCAGTTTGCAGAGGAACATGCAAACATAAAATCCACTCATTCAAATGCCTGCTAGTTATTTATTTTTCAAAGAGCACACCTTGAGAAAACATACTGTGGTAGAAAAAGAATCTATCAATGTCTAAGTGGAAAATGTTGCAAGTTCTGTTAAACAGGCATGGCCTTGGTGGGCTTCCACCAGATGAATGTGCTGACTAGCTGGGTGTTAGGGTGCCTGTGGGCAAAACGAAGCTCTGACTCCACATTGAACACCGAACCTTCGAGGGAGCTAACAGGCTGGAGCAGGACTGGTGGTCAGAGACTGATGGAGGAGAGGTCAGAGAATATGGCATGTGATAAAAACATGTCCCATGTTAATAGGGCCATTGTGACGGTAACTACAAAACCAACAGCTTTCAACGATGATGGCTTTTGACAGTCATTACAAATGGCTTTTTTGGAGGGGAACAGAGACAGAGTTTTACACTGTAACCCAGGCTGACCTCAAATTCATGACAGTCCCCCTGCCTCAGCCTGGAATTATAGGTGTTTGCCACTATGCCTGGCTATAAATTGCATTCCTAGATATTGCAAATTAGCAGCCCCTGGGCCTGACACACCTTGCATGCAGATATATTAGATTTTCAGTATTTTCCTTTTAAAAATATATTGTATTTATTATTTTTATTTCATGAGTGTTTTGCCTGCATGCATGTAAGCGGTCCCATGTCATGCAATGCCCATGGAGGTCAGAAGAGGGCATTGGATCTCCTGGAACTGGAGTAACAGGTGGTTGTTAGCGACAATGTGGGTGCTGAGAATTGAACTTGCGACCTCTGCAAGAGCAGCCAGTATTCTAAACCCCTGAGCCATCTCTTCATTCCCAATGCAGCATATTTCTAAACCTGAATTCACTGCCAACCTTTAAGTCTCTGGGGACATTTTTCCACAAATACTGATTTTCAGCATCTTCTTAGAAATTGCATCCATACAAGTCAGGGTGAGAAATAAGTGACACCCTCCCTTTAGACATTATGTGTACCTTTTAGTCACCTGCTAGTTCAGCCCACTTCACCCACTTCACCTGCTGACCTTACCCAGTTTATTCTGAGGGCATTTGGGTTTGGAACATTCTAGAGAATACATATTGTCATGGAAGTATTCATGGTATAGAAATTGAAAACTTAGCCAGGCATGGTGGTGCATGCCTGTAGTCCCAGCTCTTGGGAGGCAGATGCGGGTGAATCTCTCTGAGTTCAAAGCCAGCCTGGTCTACATAGTGAGTTCCAGGCCATCTGGGGCTACAGGGAGACCTTATCTCAAAAAAGATGAAAAAATATTTTTTTCAAATAGATAATTTAGAAGTAGAAGGGATTAAGTGTGTTTAATGAGTATTAAAATTACAGGTTTTTTGTTATCTGCATTTTGAATTTTCTATAATGCATATACTTATGCACATGATTTATTAATGGAAAAATGGCAAAATTATCCCTATAAGGATTACTGAATAAAATAACAACATGTAGCAAAGTGTATATCAAGCATTACTATTATATGAAAAACTCTTTAAAATATTTTTTCCAAAATGTTCAAATGGAACTGCAAATTATAAAGAGTGAATTTTATTCAATATAAATTATGGCTCAGTAATCCTAAGTAAGCTGGGCACAACCCTGTAATCCTAACTACATGGGAAGTTTAGACAGGAGGGTCACAAGTTCAAAGCCAGCCTGGGCAATTAGAAAGATCCTATCACAAAGTGAAAAAGTAAGGAAAAATGTCTGAGAATAAATCAGTGATAAAGTGCACAGCCTTAGGCTCAGTCTTCATTACTGAAAAGCCAAAACCAAAACCTAACAAAAATGTATGTTCACACATATATCACACACACATACATATACGTGTAATGTAATACACATACCATATACACACACTGCACAGATACCACACACAATATACACATACCACACACAGCATACACACACATCACACACACAAAATATAAAATATATATATAGTCTAGCTGGTACTTGAGCAACCAGTACTTGACTGTTTGTTTTAAAGCATATTTTTTAAAATACTAAGAAATAAATCTGAATTTCTGCAGAGGGCATTGGTATGTCAGATCACATAATTTTACAACCTGTTATGCAGATATCATATGTCTCAATAAGTCAAGATAGGCCATTAAAAGCAAAAATTATCTTTTAGTATGGCATGGAGCATATTGAAGATGAAAGGTTTAAGAAAATGATGATTTCCAGGCTGGGCGTGGTGGCACATGCCTTTAACCCCAGCACTCGGGAGGCAGAGGCAGGCAGATCTCTGTGAGTTCAAGGCCAGCCTGGTCTACATAGTGAGTTCCAGGACAGCTGGGTCTACAAGGAGACCCTGTCTCAACAAGACCAAAAAAGAAAAAAAGAAAATGATGATTTCCAAAAGAATGAGGAACCAAGAGCCATTGCCTTACCTTTGGTGTGTCCGTACTTCCTGCTGTAATTTGAAGACTTAGGGATACCATCATTGTACATGACATATGCTGTGTTGTTGCTCTGCGGGAATATATTAGGATTTTAGTGGCAGGACTCCTCTACTCCCAATTCCTATCAGTATTTCTACCAGTTACTCAGCCCGCAACACAGAGCTTTTCATTAACACCCATGAGAAGTCACCCATAGGAATATGAATTCTGGGATATGCAAGATGGGGGGGCTCCATTTTCAGTCACACATTTTCAAACATTACTTTTATTTTATGCTTATGAGTGTATTGCCTGCATGTAGGTTGCTGCACCTGTGTCATGCAATGCAAGCAGAGGTCAAAAGAGGGCATCAGATCACCTAAAACTGGAGTTATGGATGGTTGTTAGCTGCCATGTGGGTGCTGGTAATGAAACTTGGCTCCTTTGCAAGAGCAGTGTTCTTTACTGCTGAGCCATCACTCCAGCCCCATCATACATGTTTTGTATGTGCACATGTATGTGTGTGTGTGTTTGTGTGTGGGTGTGTGGGTAGGTATGTGTGTGTGTAGGCTAAAATATAACCTTGGGTATCACATTCCTCAGGTGCTGTTCACTTTTTATTTTTTTGAGACAGTCTCTTATGGCCTGGAACTAACCAAGTAGGCTAGGCTGACTGGCCAGCAAGCCCCAGGGATTCACCCGTCTCCATCCCCCCCAACCCCCAGTTCTGGGATTACAAGTATATATGACTATACCTCAGTTTGGTAGGGGGTTGAACTCTGGTCCTTGCACTTACATGGAAAGTGCTTTCCCACCCTGCTGTCTCCTTGGCTGTCGTGCTGGTTTTGCCTCATATGACAAGAGCCCTATGTGATCTGTCTGAGGATGGTATTTCCATTTTTCTTGGTTGTTTGAAAGCATGTTTCTGATTAAGCAACTAGTGTGCAATAAGAGTGCTGGATTATTTGTTAGGGAAATGAACAGCCAAGGATCACACCTGGGTTTTTCCACTGATGTTATAGGCACAGTGCAGAGCAGGCTGTCAGGATCTGGTTTCCTCTGCCTGCCTCACTGCCTGCTCATAGTTTTGTATTTAATCAGGATTCATCATTATCTGCTTTCTTTCCTCTTTCATATGAGAGGTGTTTTTTTTTTCTTTTTTTCGATTGTTTTCTCAGTGCTACGTCAGTTCCTAACTTGATATTTCCTTGCTTAGAAAGTAATGAAATTTAATGTGTGATATTGGATTTCTTTTGGTATGTCCAAATATGAGTTGACTCTCCAACGAATTAGCCTGTTTTCTAACTCATAGTAAAGCTATTATTTTGATAGTGTCTCTGTGATGTTTTGGAAACCTGCTTATTTGTTCTGGGTGGTTCCATCCCATCTGTGTCATGATGCAGTGACGTTTATTGATGCCAATAATGTTGATATTGAAAAAGAAAATCAGTGACACGATAAAAGCAGAATAGGACAACTGGTCTACTTAAAAAAAATTCTCCCATTTTTTTTCCTCTCAGAAAGAAAAGTCAGTGATAGGCATCTTGCAGTTAATGACCTGAGGTACTCTAAAAACAGTTACCACCATATAGCATCATGAACAGCATTCTTGGCTACTATGTTTTGACAGTCCCAGGAAAGTTAGCTGGTTCTTAGACTCATTTTCCATAATCCATCACGGTTACAGAATGGTGCTTGTGCCATCCTCCTCTCGAAGATTCTGACACTCTGTGAGCTGGCATTCAGTGCATCAAGGAGGCCATATGTGTGCCTTTGAGGTGCCATGCGGAGGGAAGGTCTGGTGAGGAAAGCTATTCATACGATGGATACTAATCACAATCTAACCTGGAGTGTAACAGACAGCAATGGCTACATTGGTTGTAGCCTTGGTGGGAAAAGATGCTGCTGATAAATAGAAAAGATCACAGACTTCAGAATAGGCAGGCGGGGCACGGTGGCACACGTATGTAATTCCAGCATTTAGGAGGCTAAGGCTGGAAGATCGTGAGTTCAAGACTAGCTGACTAGCCTGAGCTACATAGGGAGATGCTATCAAATAAAATGTGTTTGTGTGTGTGTGTGTGTGTGTGTGTATACACACTAGCAAGGCTGCATTACATGTATATGTATGTGTATGTAATATATGTATAAGCATACATTTTAGTTAGGTTTTAGTTTTGGTTTTTCAGTAATGAAGATTGAGACTAAGGCTATGTGTGTGCATGGGCATGCTTGTGTGCATGTGTGTGCATGTATGTGCGTGAGTGTGTTTGGCTATGTGGGCCCACGTGAAGACCAGAAGCAGAAGTTGACATTGAGTGCCTTCCTCGGTTTCTTTTCCGTCTTATTTTTCGAGGCCGGGTCTCTTACTGAACCTGGAGCTCACCGTTTCAGGTAGGCCGGCTGACTGTCAAGTCCAGAGATCTGCTTGTCTTTGTCCCTAGTGTGGGACTACACCCCACTATACCTGGTGGTTGTGGGATTCAAACTCAGTTCCTCATGCTTGTATAGTAAGGATGTTATCCACCGAGCCAGCCCCAGTTTTATTCCTTTTATCTTTGAGTATTGTTTTGACAACTGGGCATTGGACAGGGGCGGGGATTTGTCTCTGACCTACTCTAGCAGGAGACAAATGTAGGCAACTGTAAGCCATTGCAGGGTAATTTGATCAGTGTTATGGAGGGTTCTTATTTGCAAAAGGGAAAATTCTAAGTGCAATCAAACTATTGGACTCAGTCACCTTGACATTTGTGATGTCAAATGAGTTGCTTACACTATCTGTTAGAAGTTCAGTTCCAGGTCAAGGGCAGAGAAGACACGTTTTCCTAGCCACAGTTGGCACATAGTTATGGCTTCCAGAGAGCGCCCAGTCACCCCTACATGCCGTTGGCAGCTGTTACTTTCTTCTTGGCTTCATTGCCCCTCAGACATGGAAGCCAGATCCATCCTGACATTTTTCTCCCCAGAACTGATCACTCAGAACATTGTATATGAGGTCTTACTGAAGGAAAGAAACATTGAATAGCTTATCCCAACTTCCCTTTTCTTTCTCATACACATTTTAATTCCTTACTTCCTTTTTAAGGATGGGGTGGGGTGGGCAAGGTCTCAGTCTATGACTCAGGCTAGCCTGGAAGGCACCACGTAGTCCAGGCAGACCTTGGCTTCATGGAGATCCTCCTGCCTCAGTGATCCCCCTGAGTGCTGGGATTATAGTTGTGAACCACCACCCCTGGCCTTTCTACCTTTTTTGTTTTATAAAGCAGGTTTGTTCTTTCTGCCTCCTAGGCTCTGGGCTGCCTTTGCATGCCCCAGAGTCCATCAGAAGCTGCCAAACTGAGAATCTGAATGGTCATCTACTCCAGAGACTTGATGAGGTGTTTTTTCCCTTCTTCTTGGCCCCAGGAGTCCCTGGGATGGAGAAGAATCCCTGGAACATAGGTGTTTACTTTTTCGCTAATGAGTTGTGTTTCCTGTCCCCATCCTCAGAAGCAGCTGCAGGCAGTTTCCATTTTATATAATATCCTGATTATTCAAAACAGGGTTGTTGTTGATATTAAAAAATTTAGGGACTGGAGAGATGACTCAGCAGTTAAGAACAATGACTATTCTTGCAGAAGACCCGGGTTCGAATCCCAGCACCCACATGGCAACTAACAACTGTCCGTAACTCCAGTTCCGGGGGATCCGACAGCCTCTTCTGTCTTCCGTGGGCATTGCATGACACAGGTGCACTTACTTACATGCAGGCAATACATTCATACACATAAAATAAAAAATAAAAATAATAAAATATTTTTTAAAAAAGCTTCGAAAAACACCTAAAACAGTTGCTTGGCACATCACATGTACTCAAACAGTCCACAAAGTGATTTTAACTGTGCTTCTGCTCTGAGACTGCTCTTAATAGCAGGTAAGTAAAATGAACACTAGCATACAGTGACAGCTCTGCATTTTCTGAGAAAATATTCAGATAGACATGTGCAACAACACCAGAAGCTAGAGCAGTCTTGTAGTAAGCATTGGATTTAACATCTGTAAAACCCACCAAGGAACCTAGCATAGTATAAGAATGGAGCCATTTTATATATTTCCATAGTAATGATTAGAAAATGCACACTCAGTGGAAGTGTGTGTTAATTACTACTTTGTTTCACTTATCACCCCTGGTTGGAGAGTAGTCACTGTACAACATATGGAGCCTGGAATACCCTGGGGTGGCAGGCCTACTTAACTAAGTCTTTGGTCAGATCACTGAAGTCCAGGTAGCAGGCATTATCTCTATTCAGCCAAGTAAGTTCTAGGCCCTTGAATCTAAAGCCTTAGCTACCAACCTATCATTTTGAAAATGATTAATTAAAAAGAAGACCCAATGAATCGGAACGATGGCTCAACGGTTAAACAGCACTGTCTGTTTATACAGAGTGCCAGGGTTTGGTTCCCAGCACTCACATGGCAGCTAACAACCATCTGTAACTCCAGTTCTAGGGTATCCGATGCCTTCTTCTCACCTCTGCGGGCATTGCACGACTTCAGTACAGGCAATACACTCATACACATAAAATAAAAATAATAAATAAAATATTAAAAAAGAAGCCCCAGGGGCTGTAGAGATGGCTCAGTCATTAAGAGCACTGACTGCTCTTGCAGAGGACCCAGGTTCAATTCCCAGCACCCACACGGTAGCTAACAACCGTTCATGACTCCAGTTCCAGGGTATCCAATACCTTCTTCTGACCTCCACTGGCATTGCATGACACAGGTTCACTTACACAGGTGCAGGCAATATACTCATGCACATAAAATAATGAATAAAATATTTTTTCTAAAAGGAAGACCCAGAGAAACTTTTACTTGAATCACTAGCACTTATTAACAGCATGATATAAACAGCCAGTAATTCATGACATGATATTTACAGACCTATACTGCCTAGTAGCAGGAGAGAGCCCTTCTCCCCATTTCTATTAAGATGCAGAAGAGAGGAGGTGCTGAGTGAATTGGCAGAGCTTTTGGCAGCCAGGATTTCTATAAGCAATCAGTTCACATCTTGCCCAGTGATACAATTGGACCTGGTACCAAGTAAACCAACAATTTGGCACTGACAAGCCCTGGTCAGGTTGATTTAGTTAGTTGTCCTGGACTAGTTCTGTGCTAGTTTGCCTCAAGTTTCTGGGGCAAGGAGTAAGCAAGCCAGAAGGAAAAATACCCCGAAGATGCTGCTTTGAAGTTTTAGATTCTGTATTATATATTTTCTATGATCTCCACAAATGATCGACTGTAACCTACCTTGGAGGGATAGGCTTCGTACAGCTGCTGTAAGGTCCATCCCAATGCACTCCTGTTGGTGTTCATTAGCTTCTCGCTCCTCCTCCAGCTCCTGGTTGAGGGGTCCATGTACAGGTACCCCAGCCCAGTCTCTCCACCGTCCTTGCCTTGTCTTTTGGGTAACTTATAAAAGACAAACCTAACAAGGACGATAGCTACCAATTACCATCATGTACTGACTGCTTTTCCGATGGCAGTCTGTGTTAAACATTTAAATATTTTATTTTTATTTTATGCATATGAGTGTATTGCCTGCATGTGTGTAAATGCACTCGTGTTGTGCAATGCTTGTGGAGGTCAGAAGAGGGCATTGAATTCCTCTGGAACTGGAGTTAGTGACGGTTTTCTCCAGGGAAGAAAAGATGAATCGTAGAGCTGTTCTAAGACGTTAGCTGACCTTGTGGCTGGGGCCTCTAAGTGAAAGTTCATGTATATTGAGAGTGATCCTCTCTGCTGTTCCCATAGTCCCAGTGGCTACAGTGGGGAGGTCAAGGTCCAGGTCTAGATTGGAGAATTCTTGGATTCCCTTCTGCCATAGTGCGTGGCATCTGATTTCTTGGGGCCTAGTCAGCTGGTATGAGATTTGGGTATGGGCTTTGGGGGAGGGGGAGGCCCCCTGGAGTCTTGGGCCCAAACATTGTTCTTCAGCTCAGTTTCTCTGAAGGTTCTGCATTGAGGATTTGTGCCCAAACCCAATCTAAGTATTTGAAGCAGGCTTTTTTTCCCCGTGTCCCCCCCCCCCATTGTTTCCTGCTTGTTATCTCCTCTGGGCATCTCACAGTGAAGGCAAGTGGTTTGGCCCTCATAACGTTTTGCCTGCCCTGGATCACCCAGCCTAGGGTTTCTCAATACACTCTGGTCCCATTTTGAGCCAAATCATTCTTTACAGTGCAAGCTGGCCAGTGTCCTGTAGGATTACTAACCTCTACCTATTAGATGCCAGTAGCATCATCCTAAATCAAAAATGTCTCCAGACCTTGTCAAAAGTCCCCTGAGGGTAAAATTGTCCTCCTTTGGAAACTACTGGTCTAGACAAATATATTCTAATAGCAGGAACCCTATAATTAACCCCAAGAAACTCCCAGAGAACCAAACATAAGGCACATCACCATACAACAGTCTGCCCAAGAGCATCTCTCTCTCTGCTCGGTTGTCTTCAGACTTATGCTTCTGTTCAAGTGAACTCTTTCCTGTCTTGCCAATGCCTCACAGTGCCAGGTCCTCACCTGCGGCAGGAAACATTCCTTGGTGCCTGGCTTTGTAGCAGCTAAGCAACTTCCTCTCTGCTAAGTGGCTAAGCTGATTTTTCTCTGCTGAGTATTGCTAAGTAATATGTCTATTCAGTTGCAGCAAAAAATTATATAAATCACAAATTGGTAGCCCCTCAGCATAGCATTTGTGGACTCTCACTATGCCAATGTCACCAGGTGATACAAGTACTTTTAAACATTTTTCCTGGGTGACCATCTCTAATTCATTTGATTTCTTGCCCAGAACTCCAGGTTGAGTTCAGATACCTAAACAAAAGGATGCCTCATAAACTTGCAACTCCACATATTTGAAACCAAGTTTATAATATTTTATACCAAATCTGTTCATTCCATCCTGTTAAGGAACACACAGTCTCATAAGCTAGAAGCCTAAAGTCTTTAACTTCTCCCTCTCACCTCCCCAGAAACTCACCTACCATCTAGTCTTTCCAGGGTTTCTTTTTCTGTTTCTACTACAACCATTAGCTCCAAACCGTAAAGCAATTCCTGCTTTGTAAACAAGCCTGTCTCGGACTCTAACCATAAATTTCTGCAAACAGACCCTGCTATCTGCTGTCCGAGGAACTTCTACAAGCCTTCCCAAGATGAGACCTATCTATCTAAGGAGGAAGAATACAGGCCTGTATTCTCTACCCAAACCCCAGGACTCTGTTTCCCTACACAAAAGTACTTAAGGTCCCCTGCTGTTTGGCCCACGTGGCTACTGCTGACTCCCTCTGGTCAGTGGTCACCCCTCATTGACTAACAAAAGGTCATTATGGATTGTATGAGGTTGGTTGCTTTTCCTTTACTACCTGCAACTCTTTGAACTGCTAACCCTAACATTTCCCAGGGACAGCATTCTCAACTTCCTGGAGAGAATTCTAAATCCTAATTCCTAACAGCAGGTTTTATATCACCTGATTTAGCTTAGGAGTACAGAGCCACCAGGTACCGTAAACTGAGAGCTGTCAAGTCACAGCACAGACTGCTTCTTAACTCTGTCCAGAGAGAACTGCGTGGAGACAATCCAAGGTGTGGGATCTGGTCTAAAGATCAGGCCTATGTGCTAATAAGTAGCTCCCTTACTATGTCAAGTTCAAATCCCACAGCGTGCAGTCCACAAAGGCGCTATGACCTTCTCCTACCATTATAGCTTTGCCTCCTTCCATTTTAACACATCCTCCTGAACTTCTAGCAGTAGCAAATCGCTTTGCGCTTCAAACTTTCCATGTGGCCTCTTGACCCTCCTTTGTTGGCCTGAACTGCTTTGGCATTTCCCTATTAGTTTTTTCTAACCACTTCATAATTGTTCTTAAACCTTAGCTACAAGCTACATCCTTAAAGAAGCCTTCTTAGCTGCGTGCCCCTAATGCCTTATATGCCTTTACTGTGACTTTGTGAACTCTTTAAGGGTAGGAACTATGTTTCATTTGTATTTCTGTCTTTAAAACTCAGGACAAGGTCTGGTAGAAACAAGTGCTAAATGAGCGAATTTATCTGTGCTCTTATCTTGAAATTCACACAAAGCTTGATGTCAACCACAATGGAAGACTTAAACACTCAGTAAAGAGTGGAGAAGTAGAAAAACCTCCAGGAGAATCTGCCTCCAATGGAGTAGTGTGGCTTGGCTCTTTGAAACTGTCCTAGAGGCTAGTGACCTCCCCGGCCACTCTCACTGCTGCCTGAGCTGCCTCCTGAGCCAAGGTTAACCAAACAGTGCTGGGCTCGATCAAGTACTCTCTCGTGCCCATAAAGAGAAGGGTATGCCTCAGTTTCCGAAACAATGTCACCTACCTTCTCCTTTGTACTTCACAAAGGACACTGAAAGGCTTCTGTTAGAAAAGGCCACATGTAATAAAAGGAAATTGCCAAGAGACAGTTGTCAGCTCAGTCCCACTCAGAACAGCGACTCAGGTCCCAGGGAGCTGCTCGGCTCTCCCTTAGGAGCAACTTGCCCACCCGGCAGCCAGCTCTGCGTGGGAGTTGAGCCCACAGGCACACTTTAAGTCCCTTTCTTTTTAGTTTACGTATTTATTTATTTGCAAGATCTTGTGTAGCCCAGTCTAGCCTGGAGCATGCTATGTTGCCAGAGATGACTTTGAATTCCTGATCCTCCTGCCCCTACCTCTGAGTGCTGGGATTACAGGTGTGTGCTACGGTGTCTGGTACGTGTGGTAGTGGGAACTGAGCCCAGGGCTTTGTGCATGCTAGCTAAGTACTCTACTGACTGAGCCACATCCCTAGCTCATCACTTTCCTTTTAAAGGTGGAAGTTTTCCTGGGTGTCATCACAGGCTTACTACAGCTTCCTGTTTTCACACACCCATCATTCCATTTCATTTACCTACCAATCCACAGCTGCACCTTCTTCATTTCTGCAGGAGATTGTCGGTACGCCCAGGACCCCAGGAAGAGCAAGGAAGAGCAAAGAAAGGGCTGTTCCTAGAGGTTTTGCTGTCATTTCTATCTGTTGCCTTTATTCCGTTCCGTGGACTGTGGAGTCTGGGTTTGAAGTCCTCAGGCAGTCCTGGCTCTGACAACACTCTCATTTACTTCTGCTGTTTACTGTTCAGGCATTAATAGTCCCGTATCACCTGACACAACAGTCCAGCGTGACTCCGGATGCCTTTGTGCTCAATTGTTGACTCGTTTGCATCGAAAAGTCTGGAGAGAAAAAAGGGATTTATATAGCTATCTATAGAGTTAACTCTTTGGAGTGGATTATAGTAGTATGAAATTTGGTGGGAAAGGGAACTCCCATACCGAGTTGATGTTGAATGAAATGTTTCATGTTATCCCCCCTTCCAAGTGTAAATGCATGTGATTCATACATTAAATAGAAATGACAAAACCTTATGCCTTACTAATGATTAGGCTCTGTCACCTATAATAATCTCTATCTTAAGGGAGTAATTTCTAAGCAGTACTTTGAAGGTTGCTTCAAAGTAAGAGCAAATTCAATTGCATTTTAGGAAAAATGGTGATGTATATTCCACACCCCCTAGGCTGTGGCCACTCAGGGAAATGCTTTGCTTTAAAAAGGCCTTGCATTCAACTGTCCACTGTGCAATCAGGTAAACATATTGACCGCGTACTTTGAGGGTTAAATAAAACACTTTACCAACCTCTGTTTTGCCTACACTATTCTCTCTCATTCTTGAGACTGAATTTGAAGTTGAAGGTCAAGGGAAAATGGCCCATTACCATACAGACTATGAAAAGGTGAGCCGCCACTCTTGGGGATGAGGGAAGGACTAGATATACTTAAGTGCATAATGCTCTTGAATCAGTTTTTAGCTGATGAATAACAGTTAACTTCATGCCTGGAAATCACGATGGCTGCACTCCATCCCTCGCCTTGATTTTTGGATTCAGATCCAAGTAATCTAGGAGAACCAGACCAAACAGACCCTTGAAAGTCAGATCACTTTTATGGGCCAGCTGGTGGTATGCAGAATTCTCAGTGTTCGTAGGAAAGAGAGGGCTTGTGGGTCTACTTCTCCCAAGACAGAGGACAGAGGAGTGCTCTGGACCACCTACCTACACTACCTGAGCTATCTACAACAGGGCAGAGTTCTGGGCCTGCCTCATCTCAAACCTGAGGAATCACAGTCCTTCCAGCTGGGCTCAGGAATCTGTAGTGTGTGTTTGTGTGTGTGTTGAGCTATCTACAACAGGGCAGAGTTCTGGGCCTGCCTCATCTCAAACCTGCGGAATCACAGTCCTTCCAGCTGGGCTCAGGAATCTGTACTGTGTGTTTGTGTGTGTGCGCGCACGTGTGTGTATACGTGTGTGTATGGGGTGTGAGCATCTATGTGGAGGCTAGAGGTCCATGTTGAATGTCTTCTTCAATCATTCTCTGCCTTATTTTTTTGAGACAGAGTTTCTCACTGGGCTGGAGTTCACAGATTTGGCTAGGCTCGCTGGCCAGCAAGGCCCAGAAATCTTCCCTAAGGCTGGGATTAAAGGAACTTGACACCAGGCCCAGCTTTTTTAATGTGGGTCCTGGGGAACTGAACTCAGGTCTTCATGCTTGTGTGGTAAGCACTTTATCAACTGGGTGATCTTTACAGATCCTCAGAATCTATATCTTTAATAAGGCTATTGGTAATGCTGGTGCATCCTAAAATTTAAACTCATTGCCCTGAGGCCCAGCTGATGTGTTGTCTGGAGGATTTGACAGCTTTCTTTATGGGAGCAGACAAAATTAACTAAGCTAAGAAATGTTTTCTTCTTACTATTTCACCATGGATATCATTTTGCTTTATATAGATTTTTTACTGTGTTCAGTGAAAAAGGATTTCAGTAACTCTAAACAATAAAGATATTCATGGCATGAAAATTAATTTTCTATGTTAAAGAGGAAAAACATTAACTTTTATTTACTTTCTTCATCTTGTGAAACTTTTAGACAACTGAACATCAAGCATAGGATTTGTTGAAGAATTTTAAAAAATATAAGCAACTTGTTTTCAGTTATGTAGGCTAAAGGCAGTTTGTTGAGTAAGATATAGAATAATTCCTGTTTTTTCTCCTTGTCATATGCATAACACAACCCTGTTAATGTTATAGTAAACAGCCCTGAAGTATTGGCTAAGCTTATTCTTACCTTCCTGTGAGGTGGATTGGAGAACCTCTCTACTAGGATGGTATTTGCTAAATCTAATTTCATTTCAAGGTCTGGAAACACACAGTGTGGTTGGTTTCTTTCAGATGTCATTTTAAATGAATCTTTTTATCTTCTGGTGTCACTGACCCTGTCATGCTGCCTGTCAGTCAACAATCTTCTTTTGCAATCACTACTGTGTCAGACACTGTACCAGCTATTGAGGGTTTCCAGGGATTCTAACATTTTTCTAAATCCTCCAGTCTAGTGTGTCCTGTGTTTTTGCTAAAACCAGAAAAGCAGTATTATGGAAAGAAACCCTCAAGTTTGATGGATGAAGATCACAAAATGGACAGAATGTGTTTCACAGGATTCCTTGCTGGTGAAGTCCAAGTAGTAGGACAATACCATGATCCTTTCACAATTTTGTAATTTCTAAGCTGTAGAAAATGCTTTCTTTTTACCTTGGCCAAGTAGAATAAACAGGGAAGAACTCTCTTCTTGGAAATGGGCTTCTGATTTTTTGGCCCCTCAATGCCATATGTGGACTTTAAAAAAATTTTTTTAAATTATTTATTTAATAACCACATGATTTGAAGAAGCATTTCATTATAGCATTAACATATTCAATAACAATTTCCAGAGCAAAGATGCATCTTTTTCAAATTTGCCTGTAAATTTTTAGGTTCACAGTTGAATTAATATAGTTATACAATATGAACTCAGTATAAACCTCATAAGCTGTAAAACTAAATGAGGTTTTAACCTTTAAAAAGGATCTCCATTTCATTTTAAGATATACTGTTTCATACAGAAAAACTCATTTTTAACGCTATTAACACTTAGATGCTTGCACATGCATCTCTAATCTCTATGTATCTGATTATTACTAGTCACAGTTGGTTACTTTCTGAGATTCTTGGCACCTGAGCATGGATATAAAGTCATCAGGTATATGTTAATGGTAATGTTTCTCACATCTCCTAATTAACATGAAGCAAATTTTTATGCTTCTTCCTCAAATATAATTCATTTTTTCATTTGTTGATTTTTTTGTGTGTATTTCATACAGAACATCCCAAACAATCTTATTTGTCTATATACCCACATCCAAAATGGCACCCTCCCATAGTCTCCCCTCCCCCCAACTGGAGCCCATATACTCTGTCATCCCTGTTACTGTCTAATGTGTTGTTGGTACCCCCAGACATTCTCCAGTGCTT